AAAGGCAAAGTGCCACGCTTGCCACGACTTCTCGCGTCTCGCCGTTACAGTGTGAGAATTTGTCTTGTGTGGGCAGGAAAAATTCATGACCCACGTCGTTTTTCATCAATATTATTTATATGTGTTAGCCAATCATAATATCATGAATATTACCTGTTATGTACAATAAATGTGGTAACTGACACTTTGAATTCTGATTCGACTTCTCATCTCAATCAGCAACCTTAGTGATGAAGTTCTGTTATCGTAAGTGTTTTTATAAAGGCTGCGATTGTTTTGTCAACGCGCTACACCTCGTACAACATTAACAGTTAGTAGTAAGTTGTTAACTTATGGCATTAACATTAGGCATTAAGCTTTACGATGTTTCTGAAGCAAACGGGCGCCCATGAGCGCCTAGTACCGTGCGTCATTTCCAGTTATACCCGTAATGCTTCTTCTCTCCCAGCCATCGCGAATTTGTTTCCGCCAGGACAGCCCGCCTTCGGCCCGAGGACACTGCCCACTCCGATCTCCTTAGTTAATTTCGGCATTGTCTTTCGCTGCCTTATTCGGCTTCCTCCTTCCTCGCTCGCTTCTCCCCTCCTCCTGCTCGTCCATCCTGCTCCATACATCATCATCATCATCAAAATCAATCATGCATCATCCATCATCATCATCACGCGACATCATTCATCAATTATCATCATCATCATCATCATCTTTTCGCGTCCGCTCGTTCCAACTAAATACTCACTCAGCTAATGCCTATGCTCATCTTCGTATTACTTCCATCTCTCCTCCTCTTCCTCTTCCTTTCCCTCCTCCTTCATCCCCCTTCTCCCTCCACCTCCTCCTTCATCCCCCTTCTCCCTCCACCTGTTTCTTCTTCTCTCTGCTCACTCATCATCAACCTCTTCTTTCTTCTATCCTCCTTTATCTATGTCGAATATTTCACCTATGCTTCAAAAAGAGGACGATAGAGAGAAGAGATGGAGGAGGATAAGGGAGAGAAAGAAAGAAAGCGCAGGGTCAGGGAGGGGGGGGGCATAGAGAGAAATGAGGGAGAGAAGAGCGCGCAAAGCGCGAGAGATAGATCGAGAGAGAGAGAGAGAGAGAGAGAGCGAGAGAGAGACAGAGAGAAAGATAGATCGAGAGATAGATCGAGAGAGAGAGAGAGAGAGAGAGAGCGAGAGAGAGACAGAGAGAAAGATAGATCGAGAGATAGATCGAGAGAGAGAGAGAGAGAGAGAGCGCGCGCGCGAGAGAAAGCGTGATCCACACATTGCGCTATTGTCGTGATGCGACGCGACGTGCCCACGTATCGCGCATGCGCGAAGCAGCGTTCCCTCGTCGCTAATAGAACAGGTTACATAATTAACCGCGTGTAATTAAACAAGCCCGTGTCTACATATGCATATGGCAGCAGCCACCACCACCACGCGACCACTCACTCACTCTTCGTGCTCCGTTACGCCCTGCGGGCAGAAAAATAGTTCGACTGCATCGCCGGACGTATTTCGTCGTGTCGCTGTCCTTGTCACGATGCCATCATATTATACTGTCGAGCGGATGAGGATAATTACGAAGCTGCTAAACCCCGGCTTACGGTCGCGAATCCCTAGAAGGGGTAGCTTTTAATTATGCGAGTCGTTGCTTGCCTGCACGCGGATTAATCCGAGACGCTTCTCCGGGGGAAGCTGGGAGCGATGCTGCGGGCGGCAGCGGAGCGCGTGTGCGGGGAAGAAACAGATGCAGATGACTGCGTCGCCATCGCCAACGTCGACGCCGCTGCTGCTGTTGCTGTTGCTGCTGCTGCTGCTGCTGCTGCTGGTGGTGATGCTACTGCTGCTGCTGCTACTACAGCTGCTATTGCTGGTGCTGGTGCTGCTGCTGCTGCTATTGCTACTGCTGCTGCAGCTGCTGCTGCTGCTACCGCTGCTGCTACTGCTGCCGCCGCTGCCAAGTTTTAGCATTAATTTATTGTGATGCTTTCCCACCCACCTGTACGCCCACTCATCACCCTCGCTTGCCTCGCCCGTCAGCCACGCGGGAATAGATCATAGATCACTGGTTCCGTATATATAGGGGGCTCTGCCGTGGCATGCACGTACGTCGCGGTGGCTAGGCGCGCGTCTGCGTGCGCTTTGGTGTGGCGGATGCTACTGCTGCTACTACTACTGCTACTACTGCTGCTACTGCTGCTGCTGCTGCTGCTGCTACTACTGTTGCTGCTACTACTGCTGCTGCCGACGCACAATTTAGCCACGCAACGCGAGAGGGCAGCACAAGCAACGGTACTCGACAAACGCACAACGACAATTTTCCACGCCAGAGTTGCTATTAATTTCAAATTTAAGAAGAAGCCGTAAAACAAAGCGTGTGTAATATGAGGAAGTGTGAAAAACATCGCTAAAGTACCGTGTTCGCATCTTACGCTCTTTCCACGCTATTTCTAAAAAAGCAAAAAAAAGTTCATTGCAATTTTTTCACTTCAACGTTGCACTTCGTGTGGTTTCCACCGTTAATGAGTCACTCGAGAATCTTTTTCAAATATATATCTATATATATATCTATTTATATATAGTATATTATACTATTATATACTATATATATACGCTTAGCACGCTGTGCAATGACAAGGCAGAATATAAGCAGTTCACATGACTTCATATACATGTCACAAGCTGCATACTAGCACGTAGTATGTTCATAAAAAAACATACATGCCTGTATGCCTGTAGTGTTACTGTAAGCCCTAGCTGTTCTGCTGATGTTTTATTTTCTCTCTGCCGTGCTAAACGGTAAGGCGTTTAGCCGTATTAAAATCTCTCACCTCTCTTAAATCGATATAGCAAAATCCAATAACGCGATGCTTAATTGATGATATAAGTCTATTAATTTATCACGTAATTTTGTCTGGCAGGAAGTGAGTCCCCAAGGGGCTACCCAAGAGAAAAGCAAGATTCGGTATCACCCTGACAAAAATAGTTAGAGACATGCTAGGGGATATGATATGTAATATATATATATATATATATGTATATAATAATATGTATATATCAGAGTAATATAGAGATGTACCGCTTTCTTCTTCTTCTTCTTCTTTTCTTCTTTCTGTCTTCTTCTTCTCCTGGTCTTTCTTCTTTTTTTCTTTGTGTCTTTCCTTCTTCTTTTTCGTCGTCTCATTCTTTTCTTCTGTCTTCTTTTCTTCGTTTTCTTCTTCTTCTTCTGTCTTCTTCTTCTTCTACTTACTAGTACTATACTTTACCCTGTTTCCTTAGCCGCCCACGCAATATCTGATAAAGGTGAAGGAGAAACTAGTAGGTCACTAATTTTCTTATTATCCACTCGACAAATAATCTCTAGAATTAATCGAATGAATGCTGCTAGAAATGGAACACCATGATGAAGCAACCGAATAATGGCCGATTTATATCCTAGCTGAGATATATATATATTATGTATACTTACAGATAGTAATGCAACGTCAGCTACGTTGGATCCAGCTTCTTTCATGCAAAATGATATTACCCGCTCATGACTAACAGAGCGGGTGGGTGAAAGGAAACAACGGATGGGAAATCAAAATGGCGTGTCAGCGGGGTGCAACCACCTTATGGCAACTATAATGTCGTTATAGTGTATTAGAATGAAGGAGCCCACTGTGAAGGCACTCAGCATGTGAGTAAATATGTAATATCTATGTACGACAGTTTTAGTACATGCTCACGTAACAATTACGGTCTGAGAATATTATAATTTTGTGTTTGATATTTCTTCCTAAATCTGGTATGTATATGCGGATAGTGCTAGTGCGTGGATATAACGGCAGTACAGCGTCGGACATGCATTGCACGCGCACACGCCGTCGCATGCGTGCACGCACTCGCATGCATGCACGCGCTCACACGTCGGCATGCGTGCACGCACGGATAGTTTGCGTGTACCGCGGGTTGTAGATGCGTGTATTAGTTACCGCCTCTACACCCGGACACAGTAATGACAGGACACTCCACGCACGCACGCTATTATGCTATTTGTCACACCACCACACACCACACACACACACACCAACAACCGCACAAAACCATATCATCACGTATTGCGTGACAAACCACACACTCATTAATTATGACGCCTGCAATGTTTGATAATTGACCAGCTGCTAGCATGAGCTAGCTATCAGGATCAAAAACACACACATTGTGTGTGTCTGTGTGCGTGTGTGGTGGTGCGTGCGTGCGTGTGTTGTGTTTGCAGTGTGTGCGGTGCGTTGGAGTGTGCGTGCGTGCCGTGCGTGTTCTAACGTCGTGTGTGTCGCGGAGTGCGTGTGTTGCGCGCGCGCGTGTGCTTGTGCGCGCGCGTTGTTGTGCCTGTGGTGTGTGTTGCCGCGCGCGCCTGTTATTTGTGTGCGTGCGCTGCGTGTGTCTCATGTGTTCGTGCACGGTGTGTGCCTGTGCGCTGCGAGCTACGTGCGCTGCGTGCGCCGTGTATGCTTATGTGTGTGTGTGCGTGTGTGAGTGACGTGTCTCGGTCTGACTTACCTTTACACGAGGTGCTACCAATACTCACCCGGTTGCGGCATAGTCTTGCGTGCGTGCTTGGTTCGTGCTTACCTGTGCAGCGCTGCGCGTGTGTGTGTGGGCGTCTCGCGTTGGTTGCGTTGCCCGTAAGCAATCTCACTATGTCTCACTGCTCTCGGATGTGTGTTGATCGCTGCGTGCGAGTGTGCGTGGCGCTGCGGTGCGTGCTGTCAGATGTATGTAGGTGTGTGTGTGTGTGTGTGCGTTGTGTGCGTGCGTGCCGTGGCGTGCGTGGCGTGATGTGTGTGCGCCCGCAGGTGACGTGCTGCGCAGCGCGTGTGTAAGAACAGATACTCTTCTTATTTTACAGGGATTCTCTTATACGGACTATCATTCTTCTATAACAATGGACACTTGCTTTCTGATTTGGGATTTTCTATAACAACTGCTACTATTCCTCTATAAGAAGGGACACTTCTTCTTTCTGTTGCAGAATTCTCACTCTCTTTGACGCCCAGCGATACGAACGCAGGCAGGGTCGTCGGAGCCAATGGCAGACGGATGCGATGACTGGACCAAGCTGTTGCTTAGGCTGCTGCTCCTCTTCAGTATCTGCCGTTACTCGGCATGCAGCGCATCTTATTACGCGCAGCCGATCTGGCTACGACGTACCCTTATACGAAGATGTTGTACATCGGACGTTTAGATGACGTTGGCAGTTATATGGCGTACCCCGACGATATCGATGACGCGTCAGATCCCGCCTACCTCGATAGAAACACTGCCGCTGCGGCTGCCCTCTATCGATTACCGGCATCGTCGGAACTCACGGAAAACGTTCAAGATGATAACACAATAAGCTTCAGTACAATGTTACGAAGGACTGGAATTCGACACAACGTCAGCAAGAGATATATTTGTAAGTTTTGTATACTTTATTAATATATATTATATATATTATCTTTCTGGTGCATACGTCAAAGTCAACGCTAAACGATCTTCGTTGTCAACGCCACTGTTGTTAACACGTTAAAATATTGGCCTCGGCAATGATTAGAGTTATACCAAATATATCCTATTTAGTATCATCGCCGAGCTGGCTTATAGGAAATCCTGCGCGGCTCGATTCGGATCGAGCCTAGGTGATATTTTCGATAATCACTTCTCAGGCGTTTACTTGTAGTGGCCGCCAAATGAGCGGCATCGATTTGTTAAATGTTACAGAAGCCGAACTGACACATTTAAGAAAATGCCTGTTCCAAGGTACGAAATTCGGGCAAATGCATACTTAAACCACATATCGCCTAGGATCGCGTGAATCATGTTACAATTTATGTATTAGTTTAATTATAAATGGACTATATCTATTATTATACTATACTAATATAGTCAGTAATATATACTAGTATATATATTATGTATATATTATAATATTTATATATATATATTATAGTATATGTTTTATAATTAATATATCAAGATAATACCTTTACGCCATGACTAATGTCAGAAGTGCGAGTTTCACTTCAACTTAACGATCTCGCATAGAGATAATATAAGTATATGCGGATAGACGATACTAGTAAGATTATTCTGCTCGCCATGGCAGATAGTATAGATATCTTGCGCCGCATGGCGATATAGGAGATATCTGCCGTCATGGAGATAGTATAGATAGTCTGCGCGCATCGCGAGATATATAAGGAAATATCTGCGCGCATGGAAGACTATATAAGTTATCTCGCGCCGCATAGAGATATTATACGATATCTGCGCCATGGAGAACTATTAAGAGTTATCTGCGCGATTGAGGGGGCGGAGCGAACTTTATAAAGTTATTCTGCGCCGCACTAGAGATATATAAGATATCTGCGCCGCATGGATGCGTATATAGATATCTAGCGCGCTATGGAGATATATAGTACCTCTGCGCGCTATGGGAGTTCATATAGATACTCTGCGAGCGCAGTAGGAGAATATATAGATATTGCGCGCATGGACGCATATATGAACATATCGCGCGCACTGGTAGATATATGAGGCATATCTGCGGCATTTGGAGCTATATCAAGATTATTCTGCGCGCATGGAGAGTGTATAGATTATGGCGCGCATGGAGATATATAAGATATCTGCGCGCATGGAGATATATAAGATATCTGCGCGCATGGAGATATATAAGATATCTGCGCGCATGCAAGGTCCCTAACCGCGGAATTATCTATCGCACGCAGCACAAAGACACTATAAGATTTATTACCACAAATAAATCACAGGACCTTAGGTTAGCGGGTTAGCGGCCCGCTAGTACACATCCTGTAGATAGCTTATTGGTTGCTAGATTTCGAGCCGTAGGCAGCTCTGAAGATAAACTATTACTCCACATCACAGGATGTTCGGCGCATATCGCTGTCCACTGCCTGCAGCCTATGAACCTGCTGCTTGCCTGTCTCCTCTGCCCTGCCTGCCTGCTGCTGCTCATGCTGCGTGCCTGCCTGCTTTGCCTGCTTGCTCTTGGCCCTGCCGGCTCTGCCTGCGTTGCCTGCCTATCCTGCTTATGCTTGCTGCTTGCTGTCTGCCTGCGGCCTGCCTTGCGGCCTTGCCTGCCTGCCTGCCTGCCTGCCTTGCCTGCCTGCCTGTTCTGCCTGCTTGCTGCCTACCTGCATGCACCTGCCTGCTGCTGCCTGGCCTGCCTGCCTACCTGCCTGCTTACCTGCTGCGTACTCCTGCCTGCTGTCCTGCTTGCCTTGCCTGCTTGCCTGCCTGCCTGCCTGCACCTACCTGCTTGCCTGCCTGACCTGCTCTGCCTGCCTGCCTGCTGCCTGCCTTGCCTGCCCTGCCAGATCACTGACCTGCCTGTCTGCTCCTGCCTGCCTGCTGCCTGTCTCGCTGCCGCCCTGCCTGCCTGTGCTGCCTGCTCTGCATGCCTGCCTGCCTGGCGCTGGCCGTTCCCACGCGTCTCGGATGGGCGAGCGATAGCACTCGTCACGGTCCGTATTTCAAGATTATCTTTAGACCTGCTGTTCATTCGATATGCAGGAAGTGGTAGGCGATGATTCCCCTGGCGTCTTTTATGTGATTACTTACCGTCCTGGGTGAAGTGCATGGTGGCTGGAGCAACGACCTTCAAGCATATTAGGTTGTATAATAGACTTGCTTGTACAAACTGCGTTAAATTACGATGATAAGTACGTTAGTTTGAGGTCACTGCGCTATCCGTTATCTATTCAGTAGTTTGTTACCTAGTTAGTTATCTTTGTAATTCATTAATCTATCCATCCATCCATCCACCCACCCATCCATCCATCCATCATTATCTCAAACCATACATGCAATCTCATTACATCCATTTAATCCATCCATCTATCTATCACCCGCATAGCATGATCCTGCGATCCATCCATCTCATTCCATCATCCATCATCCACCTATCATCAATCATCATTCCATCCACCAACCTATCATCCTCCATCGTCATGTATCCATCCATCATCCATCATCATCTGATCGCATCCATCTTATCATCCATCCTCCACATCATCACCCATCCATCCATCATCCATCACATCCATCCATCATCATCCATCCATCCATCACATCAGCCATCTTCATTTCACATCCTTCCAATCCCATAAGTCATCCATCCATCGATCCATTCCATCATGCCATCCATCCATCAATCCATTCCATCCAGTCCTCCATCCATTCACATCATCCATCCATCATCCAGTCATCCATCCATGTCCATCCATCCATCCATCCATCATCCTCATCAATCCATACATCCATCCATCCATCCATCAGTCCTCTCCATCCATCCTTCATCCATCATCCATACATCCTCCATCCATCCCATCATCATCCATCCATCATCCATCCAATATCCTCCATCATCATCCTATTCCATCCAGTCCATCCATCAGATCCATCATTCATCATCCTCATCGCACTCTATCATTCCATTCATCCATCCAGTCCATCATCATTCCATCCATCCATCCCTCCATCCATCTCATCCATCATCATCCATCATCCATCAATCCATATCATTCCACTCATTCATCGTATCCATCCATTCCATCCAGTCCACTCCATACCATCCATCATCCACTCCATCGCGATTTCATCCATCCATCCATCCATTCTAGTCCATCATTCCATCATCCATCCGATCCACTCATCCTCCATTCATCCATCTTCCATCCATCCATCCATCCTATTCATCGTCTCCATCCATCTATCCATCCCTCCATCCATCGCATCCATCATCAGTCCATGATCCATCATCCATCCATCCATCCATCCATCCATTCCATCCATCCATCCATCCGTGTATTGATCGATGTGTACGTCTACGTGTTGCACTACTTAACACGCGCAGCTATAACGAGCCGACATGAAAGGGTCAGTATGTGCCGCCTGCACACGCGAGCGCACTTACCCTTGGATGCGTACGTGACTCGCCACGAATTCCCCGATATATAAAATATCCTCCTCCTCCTCCTCCTCCTGTCTTTACTCCTCCTCCTATCTCCTGCCTCCTCCAACTCTCTTCGCCTGGCTGGGGCGCTCCGGTGTGTCTCTAGTTTCTCTTCCACGCAATCGTTGTCTCGTTAGGTCGAGTATTTTCTCCGATTAGGCAAATGACTGTTATTTTGTAGAACTCGATTAAGAGGCAGGATGGACGTGGGTTGTGAGTGCGTGCCACTCCCCCGCGCGTGCTGTTTATCGGTCCTGTCTCATACTTCTCACGCTATTTGAATGATGAGGACGTGATGACGACTGACGCTCCGCTGTGTTCTTCTCTTCGGGTACAGTCCGCAGTCCCGTGTTCATCTCCGCTTCGTCCTTCTCCCGGCTCGCGTGCGTCCGCCCTTGCCTTCCTCCCCCCGCACCGCTCCCCTCCGCCCGCCTTCGCTCTACTTCCTCCGCACCCAGCTCTCTCCCTCCCTGCCCTACGCCCGTCCGTCTCCCTCGCCCTGCCCTCCGTCCTCGCTTCTCCCTCCCCTGCTCCGCCTGCCTTCTCCTCCGCCCCGCTCTCTCGCTCACCTTGCTCCTCCGACCCCGCCTTCTCCTCCCTCGTCTCCCTCCTCTCTTCTCCCTGCCTCTGGCCCATCCCTCCCGTCTCTTCCTCCCCTCTCCCTCCGCCCCGTCTTTCTTCCTCTCCGCCCGCTCTTCTCCTCCCTTGCCGCTTCTCCGCGCTCTCTTCCTCCTTGCCCTCGTCCCCGCTTCTCTCCTGCCCTGCTCTCCTTCCGCTCCGCTGTCTCCCTCCCCTATCCTCGCCCGCTTTACTTCCTTCTCGCCTCCCCGCTCTCTCCCTCCTCCTCCCTCCGCCCGCTCTCTCCTCCCTGCCTCGCCCTCTCTTCCCTCTCCTGCCTCGCTCCCGCTCTCTCTTGCCTGCTCCGCCTTCCTTCTCTCTCCTCTCCGCCCGCTCTCTCTCCCTCCCTCTGCCTTCGCCGCGCTCTCCTCCCTCCCCTGCCTCCGCCCTCTCTTCCCTTCCCCTGATCCATCCGCCCGCTCTCTCTCACTGCCCTCCGCTATGTTCCTCCCGCCCCGCTCTCTCTCCTCCTGCCTCGCGCTCTCTCCCTCCCCTGCCCTCCGCCTCTCTTTCCCTCCTGCCTCGCCTCGCTCTCTCCCTCCCTGCCTCGCCCCGCTTTCTCCTCTCGCCCCGTCTCTCTCCCTCTTGCCTCCGCCCTCGCTCTCTCCCTCCTCCGCCCATCGCTCTCTCCCTCCCCTGCCCTCCGCCCCCGCTCTCTCCCTCCCCTGCCCTCCGCCCTCGCTCTCTCCCTCCCCTGCCCCGCTCTCTCCCTCCTCCGCCCCCGCTTTCTCCCTCCCCTGCCCTCCGCCCCGCCCCCAATTACCTCCACCTTATAACCAGCGTATCTGGTTACATCACGTCCTGTAATCACGGTCAGCAGC